AAAGAGAGAGCCAAAGGAATAGATCATTCTGGATATGCTCTGCTCGAATATTCTTCCCCTTAGCATTCATTTTTCTACTGTGACAGACAGGTCATCAGGCTTGGTATATGACCTGTGGTATATGACCCACTGCCAATTCACTGGCTGTCACTCAGTTTGCTTATGCTGGTGCTGGTCTCCATATGCAGCAAACAGATTTGTGAGTTATGAAGGCCAATTAAAAATTACCCCAAATTATTTGATTTGTGAAATAGTATCTAAAACCAGCTCATTGGGAATAACAAGCGGCTTCAAGCACGAGGCTCAGGCGCTCTATCTTCTTCATCTAAAATAATTCAGATTTAGGTCATAAAAATGTTTCTCTAGTGCCTTTAAAATGCTAAGCTTGAGTAAGCTTGAATTTGTTCACGAACAGTCCTTCAGATTTTATATATGATTCTTTTTGCATCACTGAGGATTGGGCAAGAAGTACTAGAAACACACCAAGATTAAAAAAGGGAAAAGTCCTTACTCAAGGCATGCTTTCACTGATTTAAAAAAGAATTGGGCAAAATATGTAAGTGAATTTATTCATCTAGGAATCTGAAAAATCCTTTGGTCTTTCACACTTCCATGAAAGCTGCTATCAACTACAACACATATATTTTTCTTTGTCTCATTTTTATATGATATATATTAAATTAAGACATAGGACAAAAAACAACCAAACCAAACAAAGCAAAGCGTTCCCTACTCTACTGCTTGAGATATGCCATAATGAGTAGTGACCCAAATAAGCTTTTGGCTCATTTTTTTCCCCCAGCCTAAAGATTTCTGGATAAAGGAAGACACACTATGCATCATTCCAGTTATTGAATAATACAAGACAAACAGTGACCTACTTTAGAAGAGCAGATGAAAAGAAAATGAAAACAGGATACATGACAACAGCAAGGAAACCATGGTAACTACGAAAGACAACTGCTTTGCTTACTTTATTTTGGCCAGAATGATCAGTGAGCTGAGCCTTCAGCTCTGTAATTTCAGCCTCTAATAGGTGGATTACTTCTTCATAGTCCATCTCCATCCCACGAGCCTGCCTCTGTGCGGCTTCTGCAAGATGAATCCTGCTTCGCAAAGCTCTTGTCTCTTCCACCGCTGCCTTGGCTTCCTGTCATTACAGAATTCCATTTAGATCGTGCAACTCTCAGAAATTCAGCAATTCAGGACAAGTATCGCTGGTGATAAAGAAGTTACATTTTTTACAACATCAACTTTTTTATTTTTAAATCTATGGCCTGTATATAACAGAAAGGTTCTTTATTAAAAAAAGACAGAGATGGTATCCATCAAAATAATTCCATTTCTTCAGCAAGCAAAGTTGGCTCGGTCTGGAGGAATCACAAAAAAGTTGTATTCTGAGCTCAGTTACAATGGTGTTAATCCAATGGAGTGAAAAGAACATGCTCAGAAACTTTACCTAATCTGATTTATCATCTCCATTCCAGCACAAGGACTCTAACTAAACACAGGTTTTTTACTATTGCTGAAACATCAGTATTCAGTTCAGAATTTCCACAGGACATCTCTGTATTAGGGCGGTGCTTAGCTTCAGTTGCTGATCTGATTGGGAGGAGATTCGGCCCGATTTGGCAGCTGAATCTCCAAATCCAAATCAAATCGAATCAGGATTCCCATTAATCTCTACAAATCAAATCGGAAGCCTCCGATTCAATTTGGAAAGATTCGACGATTCAGCCATATGTTTCGGCTTTTTTTTTTTTTTTTTTTTTTTTTTTTTACATAACTCGAGGTACCAGGCTGCTCATGAATACTGAGATGGTGGGGCAGATAGAGAGTCCCACAGGAATGCAGGTGAGGTCCCCCGCACACTCGACGGCAGACCCAGAAGTGGACCAGAAGTACTTCCGGTCCACTTCCGGGTCTGCCGCCGAGCGTGCGGGGGACCCCCCCCCCCCCGCCTTGGCGACTGGTGCCTCCTTGGTTTGGAGTGGGGCACCCAGGGTCCCCCCACAGCCGACTGCCGAGCCGGACCCCCCTGCGCTTCAATGGGATGCTCCATCCACCCCATCATCTCAGCGTTAATGAGCTGGACCTGGTACCTTGAGCTATGTAGAAAAAACATATAAAGTCGTGTCTATGGCTGAATTGCTGACTCTGAATCGAATCTTCAGATTCAGATTCGGCCGAATTGAATCAGGACAGTGATCCAAATCAGCTAATCAAATCACTGTCCCCTGAACTGGGCCGAACCCAAATCCAAATCGAATACTGCCTGCTTTGCCCACCCCTACTCTGTATGCATTGTTATCCCAAATGTCCTCTCCAAATTAATTTTCTCCAAAGACAAGCTACTTCTTGTTTTCTTTGGATTTTTACATTCAAATCTTTATCCCTATGTTATCTCTGGAAAATTTCAGACAGCAGCCATAGAGTACAGTAAGTACAGGAGAGGACAGTGGCAAAATTATGGTATAACTCCTAATAAAAATCTTTGCAAACTTTACATTAAAAAGTAGATAAATTATTCCTTCTTGCAAACACAGCTGTGAAAGAACGTGACCGCTATAAATCTTAAACACAGAAGTGTGGAAATCTCAGTTAAGTTTATCACTGAATTTTAATTCTCACTAACTTTCTTCAATCTGTAAATGGAATAATATTAAAGTAAAAGTTGCAGATTGCAAATCTTTACTCAGGTGAGTAAACCCATGGAGTGGACTGAGATGCGTGGTGTAGAAATTTTTTTTAGGGTTATGTCCTAACTCACAAGTGGTACCTTACAGTGGCCCCTAAAAGCATAGAAGCATTTTCTAGTATAGCTGACCACAAGCCCACAGAACTATGAGCCTGCTTCTCCTCTTACTTCACTGACAATTGGAAGTTCAAAGGAAATGGAGTTACATAGCACAAAATCCAGGTGAGCAAAAAAAGAATCAGATTATGTGCTTGTATCACACTAACTCAAGTTTGGGACAAATACCTGAAGAGTCCTTTTCAAGACACCCTGCTACAGTCTGATCCAATTCCCATGGACTTCAAAGGAATTCCTAGTTAAACCCTTCATTTGCCTTTCACGAGCAAGCTGGCAGAAACCCACTTCTCGTTATGCTTAAGGAGAAGAACCATCTAATGTGGGATTCTGAAGCTCCCAGTGAGGGAAAGAAGGAATTAGTATTAATTGTGTGGTTGTCTGGCCTTCACTTCACAGGTCAGCAGACACAGAACCAAGCCTGAATTAAGCCTTAAAAATGCAATGGTGATTCTTGGATAAAATGTTCATGTGGTTGTAGGTTTCTCCTAACTACACTGTGCAAGTTGTGTATCAAAATACATTAATGGAATAGGCAGTCCAGTGAATTGCATTCCAAAGTACTACATTTACACAGCAGTATACATTAGCACTTCATCTGAAAGCAAACCAGTTTTCTAAAAAAACCAGATGCAATAAGATAGAAAGCTGGGGAGATAAGAGATTTTAAATCTCTCTCTAGCTTTGTGCCCAAGACCGGAGCAAAGCAGATCGAAACAAGCTATTCTCTTGACATTTAAACTGATATATTCTCTTTTTTCCTATCCAGTAGTACTACTCTGCATTTCCGCAGTTCCTTTTTATCTCAAAGTGGCTACCGAAGCAGCATTTAAACCTCACAGTGATGCTTTATTACTAGAGCATCTGATGGAGTGTATCCGTCTGACAGATGAAGAAGCTGGGTAACAGAAAGGTAAATGAGTTGTCCAAGGTCACACCACATACGGTGTGGTCAGAGGTAGAAGCCAGGACTCCTGATGTTCTGCCTCCAAGAGAACATCAGAAGAATGCACAGCTTTATTACAGTCTGTTTAGGAAAGGCTGCATTTACCATTAAAAAGTTATAGCTTACTGTAAGATTTTTAAAATAATTACTACATTTAAAAAGGCAATTCCTAACAGATAGGAAAAGAAATGTAAGCAGCTCACAACACACTAAATCACGCCAGATATCCACTTTCCCCATCAGGAATATTCACTTTCCCCATCAGGAATATCTTCCAAATAAACAAGCAATTTCAATACTGCCCACACCTCAGCCAATGGATTCAGAAATTTTACTGGCGTCTAAACGCACATCTGAGTCCCTCACATCATGACTTATCACATGCTGAAGTCAATTCACTCCTCACTTTGCAGTCAGATGCTCTGTAATAGATTTTATCTCCTTTTTCCTAATGTGCAAAGAGGGAAAAGTAGGGCAAAGTAAATGAAATTATATCGGGGAGGGCAGTTTTGCTTCTTGTGGCCCAGCTCAATGCACACACCGGGATGTGTTTTCATCCTTACGTTCTCTCCAACAAGCTCCCTGTGTACTGCCCTCCTACTATTTCAGGGATACCTTGAACCTCCCCCGCCCCCGTCATCCCCAAAGTCCCTATTTCCTCCAGTCCAGGGGCTCTGTGTGTGTGCCCCATACCCTCTCCCTCCCCACAGAAAGAAAAGGGGTCCATTATTATTTATTTTTGTTCTGTATGAAAGAGAATTCTTTCTAGGATATCAACACCTCAAACGATCCAGGGAGGAAAGCAGAACAGAGATGGGAATGCTGGTCTGTAGAAACGTATTAATTGGGGCTACCAACCGGTTCTTTAGTCTACAGAGAAGTGTAGGAGTGCTTCAAGTCATGTCTCTGCTGAAGGTAACAGGGATGCTACATGTCCCTCACCTTCCTCCCTCTGTTTTTTCTTATTTTCTCCAAGATGCACAGGGTTTGGCCTGCTGATATCTAAAACATTGTCTGCTGTTCTGGAATTGTCTGGATGTGGCATTCAAAAGAGATTTTCTTACATCCTACCAGAAAAATCTCTAAAAAGATGAATGCCATCAAGCTGAGGGTAAGGCCTTGCCAGCTCAGCTGATAAGGAAATAAAGTTTATGAAGAAGAAGATCTTTTAAAAACACAGATCTATTCAATGAACAGCACAGTAAACCTGGGAGAGGAATCAATGATCTGGTGAAATCATACAGGAATGTTAAACATAGATTTGCTTAGCACTTATTATTCTCTTTTTCATCTACATGCTTAAAGCCTGTTACTACTAATGGAAGAAATAGGAATGTTTCAGGTAAGACATGACGTTTGAGGTGCTACTACTTGTATTTCTTTAACTGTCCCACAGTACATACTGTAAAAATAAGGGCATGTTTAACACCCAAATTATTCTATCAAAAAGTCCCTCTGATTTTTAACTCATAGATGCAGTACTCTACTATCTTTCCCGTACTAAACTGTTCTGCAGTATTTTTATACACTGTGGTTTCCTGCCAAATGTTGGGAAAAGAGATTCATAAAGGGCTTGATCTCCATTCCTACTGTGAGAGTTTTGGCACTAGTTTCTATAAGAAAAGGGTCCAACCCGTAATTTCTGGATCAGCCTGTAAAGGCCCTGGGGTGGAAGACCATTATTAGGGGGAGTATCTTACATGCCAATTTATTTTACTTCTTTCTTAACCAAACTAGGACAACCAAGACACTGGTTATATCCTACTAGGAGAGGGAAATGGGAGAAAAGTAACTGTTTGAACTCATGTCACTCAAAAGAGGTCCCAAGAAAATTAACATATTGAGATCCAGTTCCTTAGCTTGTGCAAATCAGCACAGGTCCATCGATCTGAGTGAGCCATACCAAGTCACGCCAGCTGAGAAACTTGATCTAGACATTCAGCAGATAGAAAAACTGGACATCTAAACCACAGCATTTGAGCTTGCTTGACCAAAATGGTAAATTCTGGATTAAAGAACATTTCTACAAAGAACATAGCCCTCTCCCTTTCCACCACAGAATATGCCAGCAGTATATGAACATTAATTTTCAGCTGGGTTTGGGAATCCGACTTCTCTAGGCTTCGCTGAAAATTCCATACATTACTGTGACAGATTTTCCAAAATACAAAATGCAGATGAGCATCTATTGAAAGTCAACAAGAGCTGGGCACCTCTCGGTTACATGCTTGAAAATTCCCTTCACCACATACACATGCACAGCATCAGTACGAAAGAGGACAATGCAGTGTCCGGAAGTATATTGAAAATACTATTGCTATCCCTATCACCTTCTGTACCATCAAGTCTTCATACAGTGAGTTACATTAAAAATCTGAACTGCCACGTACCA